AACTGTTTGGAATGGTGGAGCGTTTGCTTATATTAAGAATGGAGGTTATTATTATTTTTTAGGTGGATCTGTATTTGGTTCTTTTTCTAAATCAACTTCTTTCTTTATTTTTTCTTGTGACTTTCCACCTTGCGGGGACTTATTTTATTTTTTTATTTTTCTGTCCCTTTTCTTTATTTTTCTTCCCTCCTTTTCTCTCCTACTCTTAGAGTTGGAGGGAATACAGGGGATTAAAGATATAACCTTTTAGTTTACAATTGGGGTCATTTTTTTCTTCTTGTTTATTACTTTTTCTATCTCTGCCCTCTTTGTAGGAATTTGTTTTTTTTGTTGTTGTTGTTGGTTGGTTGTGGTTGTTCTTGTTTATGTTTTTGTATTTTTACCTTCCACTGTAATTGGATTAAGGTAACAAGAACCTGAAGATTGAAAGAAATAAGAGGCACTAAAGACATTTTTATTTCACTATTGTGGTCAATTTTTTCTTTTTAATTACTTTTTTCTATTTTTTGCTGTTATCCTTTTTGGTTGGAATTTGGTCTTTTTTCCTTCCCTCTTCCTTTTTTCTTTTTACTTTACTACTACAATTGGATTAAGGTAACAAGAACCTGAAGCTTGGCTCATCAGAATTGAAGAGGCGGTTGTCAAAATTTGGATTCCCCCCCCCCTTCTTTCTCTCCTTTCTATTTTTTGATATTTGGATTATAAAAATAAATTAACAAGATGAAGAAGATAACAGCATATTCCTCATTGACAGCAATAACCTCCAGCCCTATAGTACAAAAATTATCAAATACAACAACACAACAGGATAAAGCTAGTATGGAGTTAAAAAGTATGTTACAGGCTATGCATGAATACCTCAAAGAAAGAAAAAGACAAAGTGGATGAAGACCTGAAAGAAGTTAAAGAGATAATGGGAAAAAATGAGCACAGATTGAAAAAAGTAGAAGAAAAGGTGGACATAACAGAGAAGTAAATGGAGGAGATGGATTATAGACTGACAACAATAGATAATACCAATACCAATGAAGAAGAAAAATAACAGCTCCCAAAAGAAACCAGCATGGCTGGATAAAGAACTATCTGACAAATTGAAAGACAAAAA